AGGAGCAGAGGAGACCTTTAGAACATCAGTCCAGGGGATCACAGTTTCCTATGTCCACAGGGGTCACATGGGTAATACCAGTGGATAAAGAGNACTCAGACTCAAGCTGGTGGCCCCCTACTATACACCCTGGGGCAAAGCAGGGCAGCATCTAGTGGCATGTGAATAACATCAGGAAAATCATGGAAAGCAGGAGCAGAGGAGACCTTTAGAACATCAGGCCAGGGGGGTCACAGTTTCCTATGTCCACAGGGGTCACATGGGTAATACCAGTGGATAAAGAGGTTTGGGTAAGCATTAGGGAGTAGTGGGCCTGTGGCAAACTGGAAAACTGACTAAGTTCTGAACAAAGGAGATGACTGTTGCTCAGCCCCAGGGAATTGTTGCTATGGGGAATATGAGCCCAGGGTTCCCGGACCTTCCCTTCTTTTACGAAGGGAAACCAGAGTCCAGATTTTTTGTGAGGTTTTCTAATTTTTAAAAGTTGCAGCTAATTGAAAGTTTTGTCAGTTGCTGTATGCCATAGACAAAACATCCCATGAGGCAAGTTTCCATATCTTTGGATTTAGTGCAATATTGGGCAGATTGGGAAACTGAGGCTTGGAATTTGGGAACTTGCCAAAAATCACCAGGGAGGCAGTGACCCTGAGGGACATAAAGCATGGCCCTTTGTGGCTTAGTCTGGGTTTGTTGTCCACCACTCTGATGGGCTCCTCACCACTGCCTTTTCCCAAGGCAGGAATTGAAGCCCAGAGAAGGAAAGGGGCTTGCTCAAAGACACACAGCTTGTTATGGCAGAGTCCAGAGTCAGGCTGGGGCTTTTGGGCCCTCCACTATGGGACTATCCAGCCACTGTGCCGCCAGAAATGACCCTGGATTGGCTCCACTAAAAGCCTGACCCGGAGCTTGGCACAGGTCAAATTCTGACTCACTGCCAATCTTCAGAAAACGGCTCGCACACCAGTGGGCAGGCAACTACTGCTGCCCAGGGAGATCCGTCTGTGCATTTGCTGAGCTAACACTTTCAGCCTTGAAGGTTGTCTGGCAACCTGGATTCAGATACTGACTCTGCCATCTACTTGCTGTGTGACTTTGGACAAATCGCTTCACCTCTCTGGGCTCACCTGCATAGGGAGTGACACTAAGGACACCTAATACAAGGTTGTTTGGGAGATCGACTGGCTTGATCCACATGAAGTGTTTGAAACAGTGCACCTGTACTAGTTAGTAAATGTTAGCTTTTGTATGGAAGGGCCAGGCGCATAGTAGGTGTTGCGTAAGGACAGTTGCCCTTCTGTGCTTCGTTACACCAGAACTGGCCCCTTATGTTACTCTTGCTGCTTTCCCAAGGACCACAGCCTTCATGCATATCTGCTTCCCCATGCTCCGCCAACGAGGGCCCCAAACCCAGATAAGCTTGCTTTCCCATCCTGGCTCAGCTTTAGCTGGATGATGATTTTCCAAATGTGTTTGTCGATCTTTTAAAACCCCCGAGATGAGTATTTAGTACCAAAATGTACAAGTGTATCAAAGGGACTTAATTCGAGCCCTGGATAGTGATGCTAGAGTTTTGAAGAGGGAAACCGACAAAGTTTTCCTTTCTTTGCCTTTTGTGGCGGCTGTGGCTACGCACTCCCGTTTACCACTTCAAATTCTGTTCAAAAAGGTCGCCAGCTATTTGCGTGAATCACACAGTGTGAGGACTTAGGAAGAAAGAGCTGGAGAGTGGTCTCCTCAGATTCATACTCCATCCCCTGTCTTTCCCTGGTGATGGATTTTGTCCCCTTACTGCTCCCGGCGGTGGTGGCCACCCCCGGGCTGAGGGCCGCTGAGCCCAGGCACATGACGCCATCAGTCATGAGAAGACCAGACACTGTGCCCAGAATGGGGACGCCAGTGTCCTTGTTTCCCAGAGGCGGAGATGGAGGCTTCAAACACTTTCAGCGTCGGTTTCACGTTGCCTGGCTAGTAAGTCCCACAGCCCGCAGCTGCCGTGGGCAGCGAGGAGTCCCTCCGGGAGCCCGCACCCTGCTCAGCTCCCCTCTGACGCCTGGCAGGGGCTCCCACGCCTCCTGCAGCCCGCGTCTCATTCGATGTGAAGGGCCGCGAAGGGCTGCGAAGTCGCTCCTGGTCCACATCTGACAGGTGCCTGCATGTGAAAGCCCAGAGCGACACTTTGGAAAGCGGAGCTGGTGTTCAAAAGGCCACTGATTACTTTATTCTCAAGGCTTAATCTCCGATACCGAAATAGCTGGCATGAAACGGGGGTCTCGGCCTGGGACCTCCTGTGGGAACAGGTGTGTGGCGGGTTCCCCAAGGTCAGAGCTAGCCCAGAGGAAGTGACTAGAAAGGGACATCATGAGGATCCTCTCACCTTTGCTAATTTATTGGGTGACAAGCCATTGTCCTCCTGGGGTGACATCATCAGGCCTTGCTTCCCTCTCTGACCTCATCCTGTAAAATGATCCCTTAGACTCAGCAGGCTCACACCGCACAGGCCTTCGGGCTGAATTCGAGCTCATATCTGCTTGTGATTTCACAGGACTCTCTGCCTGAACTCTGGTCCCTCGCCCCATCTTTGCGTGGCTGACTCACTGGGGAGCTCCCGGTGCTCCCTCCCCATCACCCAGTGTCACACATTGTCATGTGGAATGTTACTGCTCTATTTGATTGGATGTGACAGCTTAGAGAACAGGGGAGTTGGCCTTGATCACCTTTGTATCAGCAGCATCCCCACCATGGCCCAACACGTTCTGGGCCCCACTGAGTCTTTGCTAAATGACTGATGGCTTCTGGTTGCTCGTCCTAAAGCTCCAAGAGTCTGGACCAGGTGGTTGAAGAGGCTCCTTGTTCTCAAAAAAATTCTCTGAGCTCGAAAGAAGCTTTCTCTTTCTGAGGGTTGGGGCTCAGGCCAGCCTCATGCAGGGCTTTCAGTTCCTCCCAGCAGAGCCTGAGGAGATGCTTTGGAGGAGGGGGCTGGGGAGAGAAGGAGCTGAACAATTGCCCCCAGCTGGACTTGACCTTCAGCCTGACTCCACAGGGACCCTGGAACATGGAGTGCCCCACTGCAGGGTTGGTTCCACACTGAGGCAAAGGGGGCCTCATAAAGCCCCAGGTCTCTCAGGCATTGTCTGGGGCTGCCCAGGGTGGTGGGGTCAGGAGGTGGTCACCTCCCAGGGGAAGCATCTCCTCTCTGGCTGGGGCAAACCTCAGAGCAAGGGGCATCTAGGAGCTGCTAGCAGCCAACCGCAGCTGTGGCAGAGGGGTGATGGTCCTATCCAGCAAAAGCCATCGGGCTAAGTGCCCACAGTGTTCCCTGTGCAGGGACCTGGCACTGTCCAGGTAGCCTGTCCCAGCTGAGGGAGGGAAAACCTGAAACCTGCCTGCCCAGGTGCAGTGACTCCCAGGGTCACTAGGAGTCATCTCTACCTAAGGAAAGCCCAGCAGCTCCTAGCTATCCACCCCTGCCCCTCTGTGCCACAGTGGGGTAGGTGACTCACTGAAGGATGCTTAGCTGTAAGAGACAGACTGGCAGTCCCCCAGCCTCTGCAGGCGTGGCCTTGAGGCTCACCTGTCGCTAGGTAGCAGGACCGAGTCCCACCAAAGCTTCCGTGTATATGGTGGGAGAAGGTAAGCAAGTAACACATGCTGCTTGTTCAGAAAGTGATGACATAACTAAATTGTGTTATGAATTTAATATCCCTCCTTTCCCCAGAGAGTCAATGGCAGGCCCGGCCCATCCTGGGCACCAACCCCCTCCTGCTGGCCGGGCGGCCCGTGTGATATTAGTGTCCATGGGTCTTGGGTCATCCATTATTGACTGCAGAGGTCAGTGAGCTCAGGTGAGAGGGCGAAGAGAAGCCAGGCCTGTGGACCATTCAGAAAGTTCTCTTTGCCCCACCCCTGGGAGGAAGGCATTTTGCACACCTCACAGGTAACCAGAGCCAAGACAGCATGTGGCTGAAGCTGCTGGTAGTCCACAGGGTTATTACTATCAAGGGCATTATTATTATTATTATTTTAAATATATTTTTATTGACTTCAGGGAGAGGAAAAGAGAGGGAGAGAGAAATAGAAACATCAATGATGAGACNGACTTCAGGGAGAGGAAAAGAGAGGGAGAGAGAAATAGAAACATCAATGAGACAGTCACTGATCGGCTGCAGCCCGCAGCCCGGGCATGTGCCCTGACCGGGAATCGAACCCCGATCGCCTAGATCCTAGGTCAACGCTCAACCACTGAGCCACGCCCGGCCGGGCTATTATTATCTTTTGCCATCGTTGTTGAGGGTGGGCCTCCACTCAGCATTTAGGAAAAAAGCTAAAGCAACAATAACACTGCCCCAGTTTTCAGATTCAGGTCCCCTACCCCTTTACAAAGTACCCAGCTGTCTGTTTCCTGACAATCAGAATATTCCAGAGTCAGACCCATGCCCACCCCATGTGGTGTGGGACCTGCCACCAGTCCATTTGCAGGTGCCACCTGCACAGGCCTCTGCCATGGGGGGAGGACGGCTTCGAGCTGACAGACAGGTTTCCAGCCCTCCTCTGCCACTCTCCACCCCGGGACCCCACCCAGCTCCTCTGCCATCTGAACCCCGTTTCCTCCTCTGTCCAGCAGGAAGCTGGAGCTCCCCTGGGACTGCGTGAGGTTTAACGGTGCCTGTGGTGCCCGGTGCAAGAGCGATCTCAGCATTAGAATGCCCCATTTTCTGATCTGTCTGGAGCAGGAAGTAGTCTGAAAGGTGACACAGCACAGAGCTTTCATCAACAGTGTGCAGCTCGAAGCCTGATGCTCAGGTCCCCTGACTTCCATCCAGCGCTCTGCAGGTGACTGCTGCTCTCTCCTCACCGGGAGCTTGATGGGGCTCTGTCACTTCACACAAACCCGTAACATTTACTCTGTGTGTCTGAGCTGAGCACATGGCAGGCACTCTCTGGTTAGGCCTGCACATCCTCTCCCTGCGGTAAGTCTGAGTATTTTTTTTCCTGTTTTTCAGATAAAGAAACTGAGGCTCAGAGAGGTTAAGGAACTCCCCCGAGGTCACACAGCTGGTAAGTGGCAAAGCTGGGATTTGAACCCAGCTCTCTTTCGCTCCAGAACCAGTGCTTTTAATTGTCTTGCTTTGTCTGCCTTAAACTGTGTTGAAGCGATATCCCCCTTCCACCCAAGTCTGGGGACCTGTGACATGGTGATGGCTGTGTCTCTCCCTGTGCCTCCTACAGCGCCCTGGTCACAGTGGCTCTCATGCCTGTAGGAAATCCTCTATAACTCCACATGGTCAGGCAGTGTTCAGGGAGTGGGACGTTCATCTAATCATTAGAAAGTCTGGTCAACTGAGGGTTTTCCCTTTTTGCCATGTTCAAATGCATTAAGTCACCAACATGGACCACATGAGAAGTGTGTTCTGCCCCCGATTATAAAGGCAGTGTACCCCATGTGCAGCATGTAGCTATAGGCTGTTGCGAAGATGGATGTTCTTTGTGATTGAGAAAGTGGGACCCCTGACTTTGTGGTAGGAAGGTGGAAGCGGGTCCAGCATGGGGCCCCCACCCCTNGATGTTCTTTGTGATTGAGAAAGTGGGACCCCTGACTTTGTGGTAGGAAGATGGAAGTGGGTCCAGCATGGGCCCCCCCCCNGGGACCCCTGACTTTGTGGTAGGAAGGTGGAAGCGGGTCCAGCATGGGGCCCCCACCCCTCATCCAGTTAGGCGCCCACCAGGTGCTGACTCTCCCTCAGCCTCTCCTCTGTACCCCCACATGCCTCTGACTGTATTCTGGTCCCCCTGCCTCTCTCCATCACCAGGAGTGCCTGAGCCCTGTTCCCTATCTTTGAAACCCACTCTTCTTTTCAGAAGATTTCTTAGAAGCCGTTTCTGAGAAATCTTTGAGAGTGAACCAGCCCCACTTAGTGGCATGGCCACAGATTAACTGCCTGATTTAGTCTCTGAAGTCTTCAGATACACGCCATGGGATGGGGGCTGGAAGTGGGTATGACCTTCTGGGGCCACCAGCAGGAACAGTGGGTGTGATCTGTTACTGGCTTTGGTTTTCACACCACCTTGAGGGTGGCGAGGAGGTCCAATGGCTAGGCTTGGGATCCCCACCCCCACCTCAGTCGGAAAAACTCAGCATCAGTAGCTGGTTTCTACCTTGGTGTAAGATCCACTTTCAAGAACATTTGAAAACTACTGTCTAATGGGAGATGTTGTCCAGAAATGTGGAAAGCAGGTTCCAGGTCTGGCTCTGCCAGGTCACACTGTGCAGCCTGTGCCAGCTGCTTCTCTTTGCTGGGCCTCAGTTTGCCCATTTGTACAGTGGGCTGTGGAGCAGACATAGCTACAGCTCCATAGCCCCTGTACAGCCAGGAAGTCAGTGAGCCTTTGGTGATGCTCATGCAGATTTTTCAGTTGACAACGCAGAGCCACTGGAACAGAGAAGTGGGAAGGGGTGGGTGACATTAGATAAAACAACCCATCCCCCATGGGGGTCCTAGTCAGGACAAACCCAGAGCCTTACTCACACCTGGGTTCAAGAATGAGCCACTATGGCTGACAGAGGCCATCCTGCCATTCCAGGGAAGTCTCTGTGGCTCCAGGTTGTCTGGGAACCAGACTCGTGGGCCCACAGTGGGGCAGTTGCTCCCTCCTGGGCTGGGTGCCCCACATCCTGCCCAGCCTCAAGCAGCCTAGCAGGCAGGACTCACAGTTTCTTGCCACAGTTCTGGGTGGCTACACAGATGCACAGTGTGGTTTGTAGTATTTTTGGTTTGTTGTTTTTACAAAAGCCAAAGGAAGTCTGTAGGTGGAGCTCTGCACTCCCTCCCTGAGGATGGCTGACCTGCTCAGCCAGCGACAAGCAGAGCTCAGCTAGAAGAAGAAACCTCCAGACACAAAGTCCAGTGACCAGAGGGGAGCTGTGCTGAGCTGGACACTGTCCCGGGCTGTTCCTGGCCAGGGCTGCTTTGAGATTGTTATTGTAACCATTCCATTTTCCACATGAGGACCCCGAGGCCCAGCAATGACCAAGATCTCTACCTTTCACCATGCACAAACCAGATGAGCCTCTGCCCCCTGAGTTTGGAGCACTCATCACTCGCCTCAGTCCACACATGTGGATTGGGCAAAAGTAGGTTTACAGTTGTTTCTATGGAAAATAATGCAATAATAAATAGTAATATAAGAATAAACTCTGTTTTGCATACTCACAACTATAAACCTACTTTTGTCCACCCCTGTATTTTTGAGGACCTTCCACTGTTCTCAGCAGGGGGACCACAGCAGTAACGGGCACAGATGAAGTTTCTGCCCTCCAGGTGTGGGGGTGTGGGGGGGGGGCAGTGAGACAAACAAACAACAAGGATTTCAAAACACAAGGGAATATCATTTTGTGATTAAGGCTGTGAAGGAAAATGTAGCCCAGCAAGGGGGTGGTGACAATGTTTAGAGTGACCAAGGAAGGCCTCTCTAAGAAGGGCATTGGGCAGGACCAGGAGTGCAGCGAGGGAGCAAGCAGCCACATGGATTCTAGGAAAGAACATTCTAGGTGGTGGGAACAGCACATGCAAAGGCCCCGGGGCAAGGAATGTGCTTGTACCATTGCACTCCGTGATTCTTATCCTCTGTGTGTTTGCCTCCCCACTCTCCCATCAACACAGCTACTATTCTGTATCGTCCCCTCCATCTGTTACCTCTAAGTGTCTGTAGGGATTGGCAAGGGTAGTAGTTGTGTAGCAGAAAAATCTAAAAGAATTGAATGGGGCAGAAAGGTCTATATCTAGTAAGAAACTGATTCTCGTTCCTTCATCCTCTCTGTACAGTTCACTCCTGGGTGACATTTTATTTTTTTTTATTTTTTTATTTTTAAATATATCTTTTTGATTTCAGAGAGAGGAAGGGAAAGGGAGAGAGAGAGAGAGAAACATCAATGATGAGAGTATCATTGATCGAGCCCGCAACCCGGGCATGTGTCCTGACCGGGAATCGAACCCCAGTCGCCTGGATCCTAGGTTGACGCTCAACCGCTGAGCCACACCCGGCCGGGCTGGGTGACATTTTAAATGGTTTCATATTCTTGCTTTGTATTTTTTGTCAAAACTCGAGCTTGAACCAGGACTGTGAGTTTTTAGTGCACCGTAATCCACTCTTTCAGGCCCTTCTTTCCAAACAGTGCAGGAATTCCAAAACCACAGAAATAGAGCAAGAAATTGTGTTGTAGCTCACTGCTGACCTTGAATTGACCGCGGGAGTGGGGGGGTCCAGCGAGCAGAGCCTGGGTGCAGACAGAGGTGGAGGCAGACACCTCTGTCCAACCATGGCCATGAGCAGGCTGTGGTCTTGGGCAGGCCCGGCCCGTCTGGGGGTCAGTTCTCCCCGCCATCTGTGTTGGCATTGATGCCTGCCTGGCCCACAGGCTGGGCATGCTGGAAGGGACATGCTTTGGGAGTTAAGGTCTCCAGGTTCTAGTCTTGGTGCCACCAGACTTGCTTACTACCTTGGGCAAGTCACATCTCCTTCCTGAGCCTTGGTTTCCTTAAGTGGCAAAAGGAGCAGAGAAGTGTGGGCCTCCCTGTGTTCCTCTGTGATCCTGAACTGCCCCAATCCTTTGCCTCAGAGGCGGCAGCAGCCCGACCGGCCAGCCAGGGACAGAGCCTCCTGGAAGCCTCCCTTGGATTTCCTAGAACTGGGGCCCGATGGAGGGAGCATGACCTTGGTGGTCCTGCCTCGGGCATTCAGGTTAAAGCTTCAAGCAGTTCTCACCTCTCCCAGATCTGGGACCTGTGGCCACCTAGCAAGAAACCTGTCTGAGCAGGGGAAAGTCTCTTTCCTCGGGGTCCAGGAGTTATTAAGTCTTCCATTAACTGAATCTCATTCAGCTGGAAAAATAATAATCCGAAAGCAGTCTGCCTGGGGACTGGCCTCTGAGCTCCTGGGAATTTTCCCATAAGGAAGGCTCACAAAGCTTCCTCGTCGGGAGACTCGGAGCCTGGCCCTGCCTGCCTGCTCCCCAAGGGCAGGTGGCCTCCTGGTGGTCGAACAGCAAGCCTGTCATCAGTCAGCATCACTGGTTTATCCATGTGTCCATTGTCCATAAACAGCCCCCATGGGGGATCAGAGCAGAGACACAGAACTAAACAGCACGCAGTCTGTGCCCTCAGCGGTCAGGCTCACCCTGACCACATGCTCCATTTGGCTGAATTCCAGAGAGTTCATGGAGCTCACTCTCAAGCCATAAAAATGCAAACGTTAAGAAACTTACCCTTATGTTATCTCTTTTCCCCAGTGTCTGCCCCAAATTCATCAATTTAATATGTTCTATGTTTCCTAAAGCTAATGTCTCTCAAAATCAAATCAAAGTTTCTTCTGGTCCATTTCGTCTGACACATCCCAGCCTTGCGTGAATTCTGGGGAAAAGGGGGAATCGGGAGTATTCCTGGGGAAGGTGGCACTTGAGACATGACTTTTACCAGCTGGGAAGAAGCATGGGACAGAAAGCCGCTCCATCAACAAAAACATTTTATTGATAATAAAATGTGGAAAATAGAACAACAAAAGTGTTAAGTCTGGGATTTGATTTTATTTCACGTATAAGCTAATACGTTAGCCTATTAGTGTTTCGTGGATTTTAGCAGAAGACCTAGGACTCCTGAGTCAGAGACCAGGGACTTTATTACTCACAGCACAGCCAGAAGCTTGAGCTTTAGGTTTGATTGGCTCCCATTTTGCCCCTAAGTCCCCAGGGGCCAGCCACAGGCCCAGACATATGTTAGCACATGGGATGGATGCAATGTGGACCCAGAACACTGAGCTTGGGGAATCCACCATGTGTAGCAAACAGAAAGCAATTCATTCCCTCATGTTTCATGATTTCTTGCTGCAAACACAACCCTAAAAAATTATTCTGGTAAGGAGCATTCATGACTTTTTATTCTTAACTTACCCTGAAAATGAGTATGAATATGAGACCTGTGGAGGAGCATCTTCTGACACTAAGCTGGTATTGAAGAAGTCTGGATTTGAATCCTAGGTTTAACACCTACTAACTGTGAGATTAG